GAACAATCGGCTGATCTGGACACTCGACGTATCAGGGCAATATGTAAGCCACGGCCTGATGGAAACAGATTGGGGCCCAACTGTCCATTGCATACTGACAGGAAATTTCGATGTGTGCGACTTTCAATCCAGCCTAGCCCGGCCCGCCCACACAACCAAATAGCTCAATAAGCCAAACTTTAATATTTGCTCAGTCCGCCAGTACCATCTGGAGCAAAACAAACTCTGGATAGCTTCTGCTGGCTCCCGCAACTGCGCAATGACTCAGACAAGTCACTCAAGCGAGTCCACTCCTTCAACCTTGGTAACTGCACAACACTGCACAATGGAAACTGCTCTATTTCACTTGAAGTCAAATAGAACGCATGACATGATTAATTGTGCTACATGGAATACATTGACAACGATTCCCCTTAAGAAAAATGGAGTTCCCAGGAGGCGATCTGTCAAACATCTATTCAAATCTTGTCAGGGGGCGGAGGGTCCTCTGCGGTGATCTCATCCCACGCATCTTCAAGAACCTTTGCTTCAGCCGGCCAGACTTGTATTCACTTGCAGATGCATGCCTTTAATTAGCTGTCTGATCTTACTCTGCATTAAGCACTAGTGTACACATCGACAATACCGCTCCAATGTTGATGGACCAACTTCCCAGCGCTTCATTCATGTACCCAGCGTGGCATTCCCATGTTGAAGCTCGGCATCGCAGCCCAGCAACAGTCCCGAGCAACTGCATCATTTCCTGGCCAATGGCGGATGCTCTGTACAAAGCACGCTAAGGTTCCATCTAGTCCCTTTGACTCGTGGTTCTCTGCGACTATTTGTAACATTTGTAGACTGGCTTTTCCTGGATGCCTTGCTGGGAAGGACCCATCTATGCAGCAGCAAGCTGCCTAAGATCAGCACCCTCCATTCAATACCTCGGGAATGCTGCTCACCTACGGCTCCTGTTTTGGTTGCGTTTGGCCTCGTCAGATGTCCCTCACTTCTGGCGTCTTGCTTTGTTCACGGGCGTCTTCCTTTTGTTCACGTCTGGCCAACCCATGAAACTGCGCAGCAGCAACCTCATCTGCTCTCAGAAACACAGTTCTACCACCATTTGCAGCACTATGTGGCGTGCGGTGTGCGTGCGGCTACGGGCCTATGTTAGGGGCCCATACTTTGAACCTTGGACTTTGGATCCTCAAAATTTAGGGCCCGTGGGGCTTAGGGCCTTGCTGCAGAGATTTGGAGGTTTCAGTCTTGAAGGTTTCTTTTTGTGGCGCTTGTTTAGGGGCTCGTGATGTAGGGTTTCGGGTATAGAGTTTTGCCGCTTGACAGTTTACGTACGATTATGATTCGGGGCATCTGGGTTTTTCCCACCGGCCTCGATCACTCGACATCTACTGTCTTTAGGTTGGGGCATTGTCAGGGTTGAAGATGTTCAGGCCGTCTGGCTTCAATCATTTTGGATCTTCAGGTTCAAGCAACTTAAGCTTCAGGGGTAAAGGATTCAGGGCTTAGGCTCCGATTTTGCTGAAAGCGTTTTTGGAGTGTACTGGCCATTCAGATTTTCGGGTTTCATTTTCCCGGATCTTTGCGGCTTGTTCAGGCGTGGTGTTTCGGGTCTATGTCTTCGGGTTTTGAGGATCAACTGTACGTACTGGCACACGTAATGGCAATGGTGGTGGCGGTGGCGGTGGCGG